GTTTCTCAGTAAATAAAATAAGAGCTAACACATCCACCACGTGGCGTGTGCTTCACCGGTGGACACTTGTCATCCTCACAGCCACCCTGTGAGGTAGGTATTATTATTACCTCCATTTTCAGGAGGAGGAAACTGAAGCACAGAGAGACTAAGTGACTCACCGCAGGTCACACAGCCAGGCTACAAACCAGATCCTCACTCTTAACCACCATTCCCAAGCCTCCTCTGCACTTGCTCACAGGTGCACAAACACACACATGCATGCACACACACACCATATTCTCCCACTGGCTCTTCCACCCCGAGTGCTTAGGTTCCCCTTTCTGCCCTCTAGGTCCTGGCTGTCCGAGTAGGGAGCAGGATGTTGAGATTTGAGCAGAACCTTCTAGACCTACAGCCACCTCGTGTCCTCCTCGACCACTGACAATGCCCCCACGTCCACACATGGTGCCACCCACCCCCAGGCACACAGACCACACACTGAGCTAAGGGGACTCCTTCGTACCCCTTGCCAGACACTTCTGAGTAATAATTAGAATATCACTAGCTCCCATGCATGGAGAGTTTTCCTGGAACTCAGCTAGGCATCTTATATACATTTAATCCTCTCAACAGCCTTGCCAGGTCGGATTATCATCTCCATTTTGCTGAAAACTAAAGCTCAAAGATGGAAGTGACTTGCCTGGGGTCAACATGGGCCTGGATCCAGATCCAACACTGAGCAGCTGCCTCTTGAGCCTTTACTCCTCCAACTGCAAGGCACACACACACACACACACACACACACAACTCACATATTCATGTCACACACACATGCACACACACACACTTTTCCACCCACAACACAGACGAGACACACAACTCATGCACCCACATGTGAGGTGCACAAGCTCCCCCCACACTCGTTTGCCGGGCCACACACCTGCCACGCACCCCACCACCACCACCCCCCCTTCCAGCTGGCTCCCTGAGCTGGAATAAAACACCTGGGCTCAGCCAGCCATGCTGACCCGCAGGCCTGAGTCTTTAGCTGGTTAACGGTGGGTCCCCGCAGCCCCCGCCCCACGGCCTTGGGAACAGCTGCCTCTGCTTAGATTCCAGCCGCCCCCCTTCCCCTCCACTAGGGAACAAAAGAGAAAAACTGGGAGGAGGAAGAGAGGGGAGTGAAGCATGAGTAGAGAGGGGAGGAGACCCAAGGAGAAGGCAGTCAGCACCCCTCCCCACCCCCCACCCGGAGGCCTTGCCTCTGCCCGCCCTGACCTGGGAACGGGAGCCCGGGGCTGTGTCATACCCCTGTTGGACTCTGTTCTCCCATCTGTAAAATCAGGAAGAGGTCTCCAGTGTTCCTTCCAGTGGAGCTGACACTTAACGTCTGGTCCTTCGAACCCAAACACCCTGACAGTGCCAGCCTGGGGCAAAGGGGACTGAGGCTCCCTGCATTGAGGCTTTGGAAGGTTCACAAGCTAGAAAGAACTCTGGGTATAGAGCCCCAAATTTGGGTACGCATCCCAAGTCTGTCACAGAGTCCCTGTGCAACCTTGGGCAGGGCCATCGCTAGCCCATAGGGCGCCATTGTGTAACTAAGAAAATGGTGCCCTTTTAGGGAGATACTCCCTGGGCTAGGCCGTGTGTCTTGGCAAGCACAACACTGGCTGAACTTCACCCCCACTTCTTCCCTCAGCCTGGTACTCCTGGGCGGGACTCAACCTACACCACCGTACTTGGCAGCCCTAAGCTTGGCAAGTCCCTCTCTGAGCCTCAGTGTCTTCATCTGCAAAATGGGGGTGATCACCAGCCCCATAGGATGCTAGAGACCCGTCTGTCTCCTTCGCTGCTTTATCCCCAGGACCTAGCTCAGGGCAGCACAAAGGAGGGACTCAGGTGATACTGAGGACAGAAAGGAATGAATGGAGGGACGGCTGGGGGAAGCAGTCTACAAACTGTCAAGTGCTGTGCTGGGGGAGGAATTATCATCCTGGGTCTGGACCTCCACTCACTCCTTCACCCAGGTCAGTAGGACCCAGGTTGGTCAGGGGCAAGGATGTGGGCTTAGCAGCTTAGGGATGGGAAGGAGCATTAAACTGGGGACTCAAGACTGCCTTATAAGGCCCACTACGCTCGTGTGCAAGGCCCTTTACAGTTTGCCAGCTGCCTTCCCCCCGCCCCCGCAACAGTACATATGAAAAGAATAAGGGCTGTCAACTATGCCCAGCCTTGTGTATTGGAGGTGCAATGGTTAAAGCGCTCAGGTGCTAACTGAAAGGTTAGTGGTATGAACCCACCCAGCCATTCATGGAAAGAAATGACCTGTGATCTGCTCCTGTAAAGATTTACAGCCTAGAAAACCCTATGGGGCAGCCCTACTGGGTCCTATACGGTCGCTGTGAGTCAGAATTGACTCAACAGCACACAGCAATAACAACCCACACCACAGTGTGAAAAGAGTATGAATCACCTTTTCCAGATAAGCAAACTGAGGCTAAGGAGGCCAGGTAGATCTGTCAAGGTGAAAGGAGTAGAATAGGGGCAGAACCAGTATTCAAACCTTGCTTTGTCTGCTCTATGATCTGTGTGTTCCCATTGGGGGACGTTATCCCCATTGAACAGATGAGGAAGCTGAGCCCAGAGAGGTTTGACAATGCAGCCAAGGCCCCACTGAAGGGACATCTCAGGGATTTGGTCCCAAGCTGGCAGCGTTTCTGGTGTCCTCGCCCCACCCTGGTCCTCGGTTTCCCACTCCAGGAGATGGGGGAAGGGCCTCTGCGGTCCTGTCTGTGGGAGGGGCCGGTGACTCGGGCTCAGCCCCGCCCCACCAGGCTGCTTTCTCCTCGCCTAACAATGAGCCCAAGCCTAGCATTGGAGGCCTTTGTCCAGCTGCGCTGCCTGATCGCGCCCCCGCCCGGATTAGCAGCGTCGGGAAGCGGCTGCCGGCGCTGGCGGGGCCTCTCTGGGTCGCTGCCGCCTGAGCCATGTGTTGGACACGGGCCTTTCAGGCCTGAAGCCGCCGCACAAAGGCCCGGGAAGAAGGAGGAACAAAGGGCTTTTTCACGCGGCAACTGAAAAGCCGCAGATTAGCTCGCGCGTGCTGCGCAGGCGGGGTGGGACCAGCAGCCATTCCCCCCAGGCCCCTCTACACAGGCACTCACTGGCCTGTGGCCCCGCTCTGGGGCCTCCCTACCGGGGCAGCCAGAGGGAGGCTTCTACCCTAGAACCAACCCCCTCTCCCCTGCTCAGAATTCCCCATTGGCTCCTTAGCACACGTCTAGGTCCTCAATTCTGCGCCCTGCGTGTTTTGGTTCCTAACTCTCCCCGGTACCAGCTCTAGCCATTGTGCACTATTAGCCATTGCCTAAATGTTGTTGTTGGATGCTGTCGATTGAGTCCCATTCAAGGCTACCCCATGTGATAGGGTCGAACTGCCTCCATAGGGTTTTCTTGGCTCTATTTTTATTTTATTTTATTGTGCTTTAGGTGAAAGTTTATAGCTCAAGTTAGTTTCTCATACAAAAAATTATACACATATTGTTACATGACCCTAGCTGCAATCCCTGTAATGTGACAGCACACTCTCCCCCCTTTTCCACCCCAAGTCTACCATGTCCATTCAACCAGCTCCCAATCCTCTCTGCCTTCTCATCCTGCCTCCAGAGCTGCCCGTTTAGTCTCATGTATCTACTTGAACTAAGAAGCACACTCTTCATGAGCTTTATTTTATGTTTTATTGTCCAGTCTAATCTTTGTCTGAGGAGTTGGCTTCAGGAACGGTTTTAGTTCTGGGTTAACAAAGAGTCCGGGGTCCATGTCTTCTGGGGTTCCTCTAGTCTCAGTCAGACCATAAGTCTGATTTTTTATGTGAATTTGAGTTCTGCACCCCACTTTTCTCCTGTTGCATCACGGACTGTCTGTTGTGTTCCCTGTCAGGGTGGTCATTGGTGGTAGCCTGGCACCATCTAGTTCTTCTGGTCTCAGGCCAATGGAGTCTTTGGTTTATATGGCCCCTTTGTCTCTTGGGCTAATATTTTCCCTGCGTCTTTGGTGTTCTTCATTCTCCTTTGCTTCAGGTGTGTTGGGACAGATTGATGCATCTTAGATGGCTGCTCGCTAGCTTTTAAGACCCCAGACGCCACTCACCAAAGTGGGATGCAGAACATTTTCTTAAAAAACTTTGTTATGCCAATTGACCTAGATGTCCCCCGAAATCATCGTCCCCGACCCCCACCCCTGCTACTCTGTCCTTGGCTGTAATCTTTATGGAAGCAGAGTGCCAGGTCTTTCTCCCGCAAAGCCACTGAGTGGGATCAGACTGCCAACTTTTGGTTAGCAGCCATGTGCTTAACTGGATGCACCACTAGTTCTCCTTGCCATACAATTCTCACCCATCCTGCCTTTGCACCTGATCTTCCCCCTACCCGAATGCCATTTCTGGCCCCCTTCTCTGCCTTCAAGGAGGCTTGGTGGCACAGTGGTTAAAGGGTTTGGCTAACCGAAAGGTCAGCAGTTTGAACCCACCAGCCACTCGGAGGGAGAAAGATGTGGCAGTCTGCTTCCATAGAGATTACAGCCTTGGAAACCCTACGGGGCAGTTCTTCTCTGTCCCATAGGGTCACTATGGGTTGGCAGTGAGTTCTCTGCCTTCAAGCCCAATTCCTGGGTCACTTCTGGAAAGATAAGAACCAAATATTCGGTGAGTGCTAACTCTGTGCCAGACATTTTGCCTATCTCCAGCCCTCAGGACTGTGGGGTACAAATTATTAGCCCATTTTCCACCTGAGGAAACTAAGGCTTAGAAAGGTTGAGGGTTGCCATGTCACACAGCAGGAACCCAGTCAGCTGAAATGCAAACCCAAATCCCTTCCCATCCCTCCTCCATTGGGAAGACTTTTTCGCTTCTTGTGTCTCTGAGGCAGGTTGTCCCTCTCTTGGGGATTGGCTGGGGGACATGGCATGGGCTCCAGCTGGCACTGAGGCATCTTCAATCGGCCCCTCCCTGCCCCCCTCAGGTACGCCATTGACCGCAACTCGGATTTGGACCAGATCTTCGATATTGACGAGGACACGGGTGCCATCATGACGGGCAAGGGGCTGGACCGAGAGACTGCCGGCTGGCACAACATCACGGTGCTGGCCATGGAGGCTGGTGAGGTGACGCCCAGCAGGGCAACCGTAGGGGGAGGAGCAAAAGCTGAGGGGTGGGGCCAAGGGCTGGGGCGGGGCAAAGATTAAGAAACTTGGCCAAGATCCTGGAGAGGGAGGGATAAGAACTGACACGCAAGAACAAAGATCCGAGAGGGGTCCTGAACCAAGGGGACAGGGCTTTCTTCCTTCATCATTTATTGACCACTACTACATGTTCTAGAAACCCTGGTGGCATAGTAGTTAAGAGCTACGGCTGCTAACCAAAAAGTTGGCAGTTCGAATCCACCAGGCACTCCTTGGAAACTCTATGGGGCAGTTGACTCTGTCCTATAGGGTCTCTATGAGTCAGAATTGACTCGACAGCAACGGGTTTGGTTTGGTTGGTTTACTACATGTTCTAGGGGCTGGAGATTCAGTTGTGCACAAGACGGGGAAAGCTCCTGTCCTCATGGGGGAAACAGAGAGAAAGGATGTACATAATATGTTAGGCGATGTTAAGTGCTAAGAAGCAACAGAGAAAGGTGACCGGGAGGAAGAGAAGCGTTGTTTCACTTAGAAGAAGGCTGCTCTAAAAAGGAGACATTTCAACAGAGGCTGAAATAACACGAGGGAACTGGAAAAGCATTCCAGGCAGAGAGAGCAGCCAGTGCAAAGGCCCAGACGTGCTAGTTTGTCTAGCATGTGGAGGAACAGCAAGGAGACCAGTGTGGTTGGCGAGGGGCACTTTATTCCAAGTGAGGTGGGGGCCACTAGAGGGGTTTGAACAGAGTAGAGCTGTCTGACTTAGGAATAGACTGGGTCTAAGGGGGGAAGAAGGCGACCTGGTGGCACAATGGTTAAGCGCTTGGCTGCTAACCAAAAGGTTGACAGTTTGAACCCAGCAGCCACTCCGCGGGCATTGGGAGCAGGAGAGAAGAGGGAAACGAAGACCTGGTGATCTGCTCTCCTAATGATTTACAGCCTAGGAAACCCTGTGGGGGCAGTTCTACTCTGTTTTATAGGGTTGCTATGAGTCGGAGTCAACTCACAGCACACAACAGCAAGGGGGAACAGGGGCTCAGCCAGGAGCTTGATGCAGCAGTGCCAAGGAGATAGGAGGTAGCCGTGGAGGATGTCAGACATGGTAGGCTTTGGGATCCAGGCTGAAGATGGAGCCAACAGGACCTGCTGATGGGCTGATGTGGGAGTGAGAGTCATCAACAATGACTCCGAAGTGTTTTTGTCCCCATTTCTGGAATGGTGTGTGTGGATCACAGGCAGTCTGGTGCAGCCGGGGAGAAGTGTGAGCTGGGAGAGAGAAAGAGGGGGCCCTGAGACATGGGGGACCAGATCAGTAAGGTTGGTGATGAATTGCCGAGGGCACGGGAGTCCTGGAGCACCAGCGAGGGGTGGGAGGCCATGCCGGGCCCATCTCTACCTGCCAGGCCTCCTCTGTAACCGAGGCCATCACTGCCACCACCTCGACCTGGTCTCCAGGCTCCCCAACCTTGTCAGCTCTTGAGGTCTCAGGAGTCGACGGAGCTGCAGTAAGCCATCAGGACAACAGGAGTTCTCAGAGCTGTGGGCAGGCCATGTTCCAAATGGCTTCTGCACACCTTGGCCCCAGGCTCCTCCTGCCGCCGGCCAACCCTCCTGCCCACCTGTTTCCTCCTTCCCCCACTGGTGTCCTCCCACCTTCTTAGGCCCCACTGGCCCATTCTAGGCCGAGGAAGTCCCTGGGCTGAAGTTCCCTCCATCTCTTTCAACTTCAGTTTAAAAGAAAATACAAAGCTGGCTCAAACCTCGGTGCCTGCTGCTCTAGAGCCTTTGAATCCACTCCTCCACCGCATGAAAGGAAGATAACAAAGGTGGCTGGAGAGGAAGTGGCAGCTGGACTTGGGGGGAAGAGAGCCCCTCCCCTTTCGCCTCCCTGAACCTGCTCCCTGGGCAGCAGCGGAGGCTCTGGGCTGCAAAGGGATCCAGGGAGGGCTGGCCTGGCTGCTGGGCAGAGATGCCTCCTCTCCCTACCCAGGAATCCATCTCTCGCACCGGCATGTCACACTGCCTGGCAGTCCACCATTAGCAAGTCCCCTCTTGGGTTAAGCACTGTACTTCTACCTAGTGGGTCGCTTTCAGAATGCAGCTAGAGTAGCATATAAAGCCTGTCACACTGAGGGGGAATGCGTTTGCCATTTCACTGGAGAAAGAATGTGGGAGGGGGGACTCTCCCCCACAACCATTTTACAATCTTTACCTAATACGTATTCTGCACTAGATGTTTTCCAGCATATACTTTTATTGAATCCTCACAGCTGCTTGGTGAGGTAACATGATTAGCACCTGTTTTACTCTTGGGGAAATCGAGGCTCATAGTGGAAGAGACGCGCCTGAGGATATGCATTGGCAGAGCTGGAGTTTGGACCCAGTCTGCCCAGGTCCCTCCACCACTTCCTAGGGCTGCCGTAACAAAGTACCACAAATTGGGGGGCTTCAAACAATAGGAATTTATTGTCTCACAGTTCTGGAGGCTAGAAGTCTGAAATCAAGGCGTCAGCAGGGCCGTGTTCTCTCTGAAGGTTCTAGATGAAGAGCCTTCCTCGCCTCTTCCCAGCTTCTAGCGGTTCCTGGCAATCCTTGGCATTCCTTGGCTTGCAGCTGCATCACTCTAATCTCTGCCTCCATCTTCACATAGCCGTCTTCCCTCTGTGTCTCTGTCTAGCTGTGTCTTGTTTCCTCCTTTGTAAGGACATCAGTCATATTGGATTAGGGTGCCCTGGTGGCACAGTGGTTAAGAGCTTGGCTGCTAACCAAAAAGGTTGGCAGTTCTAATCCACCAGCCGCTCCTTGGAAACCATATGGGGCAATTCTGTGTCCGGTAGGGTCGCTATGAGTTGGAAATGACTCGACAGCAACGGGTTTGGTTTTTGGTTTTGGTCTACTTCAGCACAACCTCAGGTTAACTAATAACATCATCGAAGACCCTATTTCCAAATTAAGTTGCATTCACAGGAACTGGGGGTTAGGAGTTCAGCCTATTTTTTTGGAGGACACAGTTCAACCCGTGACAATGGCATTGCTGCATGGTCTCCATTTTCCTATACTGTCTGCTCTCCAAGTCCCACGCCAATTCCCAGCAGCTGGCCATGGGGAAGATGATGAGTCTCTGAAAGGAGAAGAGTGGTCACTGGGCTAGAGACCCCTTCTCTGAGTTGCAACCCAGGACCCCTACCCAACCTCCACCTGGGATGTTAGTCAATGGGAAAATGAATGGGCCCCACTTGTGGTGCTGGTAGGAGGATTAAATGGGAGAGTGCGTGGAAAGCCCCTAGCCTGATACTTAGTAAGTGCTCAATTAATGGGATCTATTGCTCTTGACATATGTTAAGCACCAGCTGTGTGCCAGGCACTTTACAGTGATGAGCTGATTGAATCTTGTTAAGAGCTTGGCTGCTAACCAAAATGTTAGCAGTTCAAATCCACCAGCCGCTCCTTGGAAACTCGTTGGCGCAGTTCTACTCTGTCCTGTAGGGTCGCTATGAGTTGGAATCAACTCAACAGCAGTGGGTTTGGTTTTGGTTTTTTGGTATTGCTCTTGACATACGTTAAGCACCAACTGTGTGCCAGGCACTTTACAGTGATGAGCTCATTGAATCTTCACACCAATCCTAAGAGGTGTCAATACCGCTATTATCCTCAATGTTTAGATGAGGAAACTGAGACTCAGAGAGGTGAGGTCGTTTGTCCAGATTCCCATGGATTCAACCCCTGCCTGTCTGTTCCAGAGTCCAGTTCTTTCTCAGATGCCCCTCAAGGCACATTTCCTTGGTTCCTGCACAAAGCCAGGAGCTATATCCACCCACTCCACCTTCTCACCGTCTCCATGAGGCAAGTCCAGAATTATTCTTCTCATTTTACAGATGAGGAAATGGAGGATCAGGGAGGAAGAGTGGTATCCCCAAGGTCACAGAGCAAGTTGACACAGGTCCAGGTCTTGACCCTAGACCTACCACCTCCGAGCCTGAGCCTGCGCCCGAAGTTCAGTGCCAATGGTCCCTCCACATTTGCCCTCCTGCCGAAGCATCCACTTGGCATCGTCAGAAACAGAGGGGATATTTACAGGTTCACAGTGGCCCCACCTGCTCCCGGGTGTAACAAACATGAGGTGACAAGAATCAGAGGGGAAATATTTATACACAGCGGCAGAGCTCTGCGAGCCCCTCAGAGAATGTTGCTCTCAGCCGGGAGCCAGCTGCCTGTCATACTGGATTACCTCAAAGACTCCCGGAGCCACTTGGTATGCCAGCTCTGCTCTTCCCTAACTTCTGAGTCATCCATTCTGCCCATGCAGACGCTCCTTCCACTGACATTATCTTTAACGTTTTGTAATCATGAAATATTAATGACCGATATTGAATTTAAAGTACAATTTGTGTCTGGATCCTTTGGTGGAAAGGGCAGTTGTAAAGGGACAGCCTTCAAAGAGACAGGGGGACTTGGAAAGCCAATGCTGGGGGTGGGGTCCTGGGTGCTACGTCAAGCCACCTCCTCCAGGGTCGTCAGGCCCCATGCTGGTTTGGAAGGGGAATAGCTAGCTGTGTGGGACGGCAAAGGGTTAACCAGATTAGCTGGAAGCTTCCCATGTGGGTCACCCCAGGCCAAGTCACGTCTCCCAGCATTCTGCATCTTTCCTTTATGCCACAGAGCATGCTTCATGGTTTATATATTCATCTGTGTGTGTGTTGGGTTAATATCGCCCTCCCTCAGGAAACTGCACATTCCACGAGGGCAGGGCTGGTCTGTATCCGCAGCACCCACACCAGGCCTGGCCCATAGCAGGCGTGTGATAAATATTTGCTGGAAGGATGACCAAATGGGCTTGCCCACCCAGCCAGGACAGCGGGTGGAAAAGAACTGGCTCTAGTTGCACGGTTCCCACTGTGTCATCGTGAACAGGCCACTCCCCGTCTAGTTGCCTTAGTTTTCTCATCTATAAGATGGGGACAGTAACACCTGCTTTATTGG